TCCATGAGAAAGAATCGATTACTAAGAATTTTATTACCTACCTGTTTTCAATTTTATTTCATATGTATGTATGGTGGTTTCTAACTTATTTTTTAATTCTTTTGTTATTTACATGAACATGTGATAGTGTTAGGAAATTCACACAAAATTCTCAAACTTGTGAGAAACAATAATAGAAAAAACACACGCCAAAGAAAAAATAATTATACGCACAAGATAATATTTACGTGATTCGATAATTTACCAACGTCTACGAAACTGCAGAGATTTCACTATTATTAAGAAGGAATACAGAGCGACCGTACAGAATCAATCGAACCATAATCACCCAAAACAATAGATTTTATTTGTCCTGCATCAGGCTACAAAGCGGGCCAAAAATTTTCCCCGTGGGCGACCCCACGAGGCTTGTCCATGAGCACTGGTAGGCCCAGGCTTCCGTTCCATGGACTAAGCTTCATAAAATTTTTCATTAAAAATCACACAAAACATTATTTCGAGTTGGGGTCATCATCTGGATCAACACAAAAATCTAAACTCCCCAAAAGACCCAACATGATAGAAATCCACGCTTTTTAATACAAAACGTATTCATAAATAAAAGCACATTTTCAATAGAAAACCTTGAAAGCTTGGGTTAAAACCATATTTTTACTTAAACAACAATAAATTAAGAAAGAAAAATTAGAGATCACGACCCAGAAAGAATGAAGTTAAAAAAGAACAGGAGTTTGATTAAAAAAAAAAATGAACAAACTGTGACAAGAGTGGTTGGTGATGGCTGTTTCTCATTAACTCAAAGAAGTAATGATTCAGAGTTTACTAATTTAATCCGTCTGATGCTGTCATGTGTGGATAAGACGTGTGCACAAAAGTAGTAGAAACTGATTTACTAGGCTGCTCTAAATATTTATCTAAATGATATGGTTAAAATACTTGTAATGATCTTTACTCTTGTTTTTTTTTTTGGCTCGAGAAGAAAGGGGTGGGGACATAGGATAAAACCCAGAGATCATCCCGTTAGACCTTTATTGCTAGGATTATGAGATTATTGATCGTGCCTATTGTTTCTTTCGAATACAAATTTAACTAGACTACGTGATCTTTACTCTTTAGAATTTAGATAGCAAAATGGATAGTAGAAATAATGAGGTAAAATGACAATCTGAACCCCCCCTCCCTTCCTTCCTTCTAATATTGCCCACCTTTGATTTTATTTCATTTTGTCTTAGAATCAATTACACATGAATTTGTTTGGTTCAAAATACAACAAACAAACGTTCAGAACAGTGTAAAATCAAGTCAATTATTCGAGGGAATAGCATGAACAACTCGATAGTAGAGAGGGTGAAACAAGATCATACTCAATGTGCAATGATACAAAATGCATTCCAACCTGGTAAGAGAATTTCTAAAATATCTTACTTAGCAAACATTCACATGCTAATAATATGTGGTACGACACTGACTTCTCTAGAGCTTTATTTTAATGAACTTCGAGATGAATGATTTTGCAAGGACAAACCAATATAGCCTAAGCAATAGACAATGTCACATGCGTAACAGATATTTGAATGTCATTTTGCTTCCTAGCCTTATCTCCAATGAATGTATGGCCTACAAATTGTAGCTGAGGTCCTTGTACTAGTACCTTTAAAAGTAAATATTCAATATTCAATATAACGGTGTCGGTGATATCACATTTTAGTGTTATGTACTGTGATGTCTTCATATGATAAGAAACAACTAAATAAATAAAGTGAGTTTCACTGCTTTACATGACATGGTTATTTTTTAAAATATAAAATATGACGGACTTCAATAAATTTATCTGACGATCTTGAATAAACTTATTCAACGGCCACCAACATTCATCTCAAAATCATTCATCTATATAATAAAATACAATATAATTGAAATCTCAAAAGATAAACAAAATGACTTTTACTATTCGCGGTTGAGATTTTTTTTAATTTTACTTTAAAGTTAATCTGATGGTTAATATTAACATTTCAAATTTAATAGAAAAAATAGGTCTCTAAGGGTGTGTTTAAAATGGCTTTTTAAAAGTGTTTCTAAAAATTATTTTTCATTAATACTTTAAAAAAGAAAGTGTTTGAAACCACTCTACCACTACCACTACTTCTACCATTACCACCCTCATCGCTCAACAACCATCACCACTTCCACCACTACTGACACACCCCAACCCCAACCCCTCCCCCCACCACCACTACTACCACCACCATTGCTGTCACTACCCTACCACCACTATCACTACTACAATCACCCAACCACAATCATCACCATTACCATCGCCCAACCACCACCATCACCTCCTCCACTATCACCCCACCACCACCGGCCCACCACTTTCCCACCATAACTTCCACCCCCCCCCCACCACCATCCCCACTACAATCATCATCACCACCATCGCTACTGTACCCTACCATCATTACCACAATTATCTCACCTTACTGCCACTACCACTATCCCACCATCACTCTTACCACCCTCACGACCATCACAAATACCACTACCATTACCAAGCCACCACCGCCATCCCACCCTTACTGCCCCATTGCCGCCACCACCATCATCGCCACCCACCACTGATTGTTACTATCGTTGTCCATTGCCACACCCACCACCCACCGCCATCATATTCTTATTCTTATATTTATTATCATTACCATTATCATCTCATTACTATCGTTGCCCACCGTCAACACTCACCATTACCATTGTTGCCCGTCGTCACCCATTACCACAACCCATCACCACTCGTCATTGCCCACCATCGCCATCAATCACTGTCACCAACCTCTACCACATCTACCACTACCACTCGTCATCGCCCACCACTGTAGCTACCCACTGTCACCTACCTTCACTACACTTACCATCGTCATTACTCATTACACTGTTGTCTAGAAGTACCCATCGTCATCCACCACCACCATCGTCATTGCCCACCATCACCGTCGTCTTCCCACCATCACCGTCATCCACCATCACCACCGTCGTTACCCACGGCTGTCACTACCATCATCGTCACCCAAAACCTACCACCACCACGGTTGTTGCCACCCTCCACAACCATCATCGTCTCCCACCATCACCACTGCTTCCGCCCACCACTAATATTGTTCACCTCCATTACAATCGATACTTGTATATATTCTTTATGTTTGTGATTTGATTTTAGATATGAATATAAATATGTTTATTGGTGACCTTTTTTTTTTACTCCGTGCCTTCAGGTACGGTGAATAACTAGTATATCTATATAATCTATGATAAAACATTCGCATAAATTCATCCAACGGTCTCAAATATATTTTTTTTATGTTCAATGCTTGATTTTTTTGTCTCCATGATTAATGTTTGATTCTTTGAATTATATAGTATCTTAAGGTACGGGTTATCACTAGTTACATTATATACTGGGCCGGCTCAACAGTGTTGTTGAAAAAATTTGGATTTTAGACTCCATTTTTAAAGAAGACCCCAAATTTGTAGATTTCATAAATAGTTTATGTAGAAAAATTAAATTTATAAATACTTTACCTACAAATTTTTTTTTATAAAAATACAAGTCCAATCAAAAAAAATTTAAGATTTTACTTCAAGGAATGTTCCATAATTTATAGATGTGCAGTAATAGTTCAAAAAAAAAAAATTAAATTCATGCCCAAACAAAAGATTTTAACTTAAATAGATTAGATCTATTACTTCAGACATGAAATAAAAAAATCCTAAAATTTATTATTTTTTTAAAAAAGGAAAAAAATTAACAGTAAAACTAAAGTTACTAAAAAAAATTTAATCTTAACCCCCAGAAAAATTAAGTTTAAACTTACCATCTTAATTTTTCAATCATTATTTTCTTCTCTTAACATACCGTCAAATTCAAATATAATAACAAAAACGCTTTGAATATTAAAATTGAATTAAAATTTTTTTATTTTAAAAAATAAAAAATTAGATTTATTATTAATATTAAAAATAAAAAGACCTCATTTATCGTTTCTATTTTAAGCTCCAAAAATGTCTCAGGCCGCCCTGATCATATAGATAGAGGATGTATTTATTGAATTGCATGAGATCCAATTGATCACTTGTTATGTTTTTATAGAATTACGACATTACGTACGTAGCGGTAATAAACACCACGAGGCCTTGTTTACCAGTGGGGTCTTGGTCCGCTTGACAGCTTCCCAAAGTTGGCAGAAGGGTGAGGTAATTGGTATAATGGTAGTTTGGGAGGACGTTGGCATTTATCAGGGCATTTGGCATACAGATTCTTTAGAGGTGAAACTGAATAAGAAGGTGTTGGCATTTGTGTGCGCCATGAGTTTATCCCAACACATTCTATGATAATGTCCTGGATGTTTTGTATTTCCTTCTGAATTATATTTACTTTGACATGAATTTGATGGGTTCTAATTGAGAATGTTTTTGAGGCTAACCCGAATAGAGGATCGAAATCACTCAAAATATCTAATTTCTTCCCTATTTAAAAATCTAATTCTATTTGAAAGTATATATATATATTTGTGGTTTTGAAACTGCTTTGGTTCCCTTTTTTTGGTAATCTTCTTCCTTAAAAGTTCTTAAAAAAGCGGATGGGAATGAAAGCATTTTAGACTTCAGCTCTAGTGAACTTTTGCGGTTGCACTTTGCTCATGAACATAGGCTTTTGANTACGTGACAAGTTTATGATAAAAAGTCATTAACAATTTAAATATTATCTGCTTGAGGGACCATATAAAAACACATTTAATATTTTAGGAATCAGAATGATGTAATTAAAATATTAAGAATTAAAATGAGACAAATCTCATACTTTAGGAATATTTAATATAATTATCCCAAAAATCTCACAACGCCATCAAACACAAGCTAGGCTGCAAAATCACATATAATGGGTAACTTCCATGAACAGTTTTTTCTACTGTGAAACACTTCAGGAATGACTAGTCAACATTTGTACAAAAAGGCTACTTTCTAATAGAAGACAAGCCCAGAACTATAAACTCACAGAAATAACTCAAGAAACAGATACAAGAGTAATAAGTTATATTCAGAGCCAGTTAACCCCACCTTCTTGTCTCATCAATGCAGGCAACTTTATTTTCACAAGCTTAGAAGAAACCCCATCAACAAAATATCTTGGTTCTTCACCTGAAAAATGAAGGAAAGCTGTCTTCTGGCTTTTATCCTTCATATAATTGCCACAGAAGCTGCATTTAGTGTGGGTGGTGGTGTTGGTGTTGGTGTAGGTGTTGGCAGTGTAGGTGGTGGTGGTAGTACAGGTGTCTGGATTGGTGGAGGAATCAACCCCCCAACCCCATCTGGCTCTTCAGTTTCAAAGCTCAACATAGCTTACACTGCTCTCCAAGCATGGAAATCTGCAATCACAGATGACCCATTGGGGAGTCTAAAAACTTGGGTTGGCTCAAATGTGTGTGCTTACAAAGGGGTCTTTTGTGCAGATCCTCAAGATCAAATGTTTAACACAGCAGGTCCAATTATTGCAGGCATAGATCTCAACCATGCAAATCTTCAAGGCATTCTTGTCAAAGAACTCTCTCTCCTCACTGATTTGTCTCTTATTCACCTCAACAGCAATAGGTTCACTGGCACAGTTCCTGACACGTTTGAATCTCTCTCCTCGCTCACCGAGTTAGACCTCAGTAACAACCACTTTTCTGGCCCTTTCCCCACCACAACTCTCCTCATTCCAAACCTCCTCTACTTAGACCTCAGATTCAACAACTTTTCAGGACCCATTCCTGAAGATCTCTTCAACAAAAGACTTGATGCAATTTTTCTCAACAACAACCAGTTTGATGGGCAAATTCCTCAAAGTTTAGAGAACACCCCAGCTTCTGTGATAAACTTAGCTAACAACAGATTTTCTGGTGACATCCCAATTAGTTTTGGGTATATAGGAGGTCCCAGAGTGAAGGAAATTCTATTCCTCAACAACCAACTAACAGGTTGCATTCCTGAGGGAATTGGGGGTTGGACAGATTTGCAGGTTTTGGATGTGAGCTTCAATTCACTGATGGGTCATTTGCCAAACTCTATTTCATGCCTGAATGGAATTGAGGTTATCAACTTCGAACACAACATGCTCTCTGGGGTTTTGCCAGATTTGGTTTGTTCATTGAGAAGCCTAGTGGAATTTAGTGTTGCTTACAATTTCTTCTCTGGGTTTAGCCAAGAATGTGCCAAGCTGGGTTTTGATTTCTCTTTGAATTGTATTGCTGGTAGGGAGATGCAAAGGCCTCAACCAGAATGCTCTGTTATACCTGGAGGTAGCCTGAGTTGTCTTAGAATTCCTACACCAAAGCCCCTTGTTTGTGGTATATTGGTGGAAGCCCAAGTTAGTAGTCCAACCCCATCACCTCCATGAGAAAGAATCGATTACTAAGAATTTTATTACCTACCTGTTTTCAATTTTATTTCATATGTATGTATGGTGGTTTCTAACTTATTTTTTAATTCTTTTGTTATTTACATGAACATGTGATAGTGTTAGGAAATTCACACAAAATTCTCAAACCTGTGAGAAACAATAATAAAAAAAACACACGCAAAAGAAAAAATAATTATACGCATAAGATAATATTTACGTGATTCGATAATTTGCCTACGTCTACGAAGCTGCAGAGATTTCACTATTATTAAGAAGGAATACAGAGCGACTGTACAGAATCAATCGAACCATAATCACCCAAAACAATAGATTTTATTTGTCCTGCATCAGGCTACAAAGCGGGCCAAAAATTTTTCCCGTGGGCGACCCCCACGAGGCTTGTCCATGAGCACTGGTAGGCCCAAGCCTCCGTTTCATGGACTAAGCTTTATAAAATTTTTCATTAAAAATCACTCAAAACATTATTTCGAGTTGGGGTCATTATCTGGATCAACACAAAAATCTAAACTCCCCAAAAGACCCAACATGATAGAAATCCACGCTTTTTAATACAAAACGTATTCATAAATAAAAGCACATTTTCAATAGAAAACCTTGAAAGCTTGGGTTAAAACCATATTTTTACTTAAACAACAATAAATTAAGAAAGAAAAATTAGAGATCACGACCCAGAAAGAATGAAGTTAAAAAAGAACAGGAGTTTGATTAAAAAAAAAAATGAACAAACTGTGACAAGAGTGGTTGGTGATGGCTGTTTCTCATTAACTCAAAGAAGTAATGATTCAGAGTTTACTAATTTAATCCGTCTGATGCTGTCATGTGTGGATAAGACGTGTGCACAAAAGTAGTAGAAACTGATTTACTAGGCTGCTCTAAATATTTATCTAAATGATATGGTTAAAATACTTGTAATGATCTTTACTCTTTTTTTCTTTTTTTTTTTGGCTTGAGAAGAAAGGGGTGGGGACATAGGATAAAACCCATAGATCATCCCGTTAGACCTTTATTGATAGAATTATGAGATTCTTGATCGCGCTTATTATTTCTTTCGAATACAAATTAAACTAGACTAGATGATCTTTACTCTTTAGAATTTAGATAGCAAAATGGATAGTAGAAATAATGAGGTAAAATGACAATCTGAACCCCCCCTCCCTTCCTTCCTTCTAATATTGCCCATCTTTGATTTTATTTCATTTTGTCTTAGAATCAATTACACATGAATTTGTTTGGTTCAAAATACAACAAACGTTCAGAACAGTGTAAAATCAAGTCAATTATTCGAGGGAATAGCATGAACAACTCGATAGTAGAGAGGGTGAAACAAGATCATACTCAATGTGCAATGATACAAAATGCATTCCAACCTGGTAAGAGAATTTCCAAAATATCTTACTTAGCAAACATTCACATGCTAATAATATGTGGTACGACACTGACTTCTCTAGAGCTTTATTTTAATGAACTTCGAGATGAATGATTTTGCAAGGACAAACCAATATGGCCTAAGCAATAGACAATGTCACATGCGTAACAGATATTTGAATGTCATTTTGCTTCCTAGCCTTATCTCCGATGAATGTATGGCCTACAAATTGTGGCTGAGGTCAGTATCTTTAAAAGTAAATATTAAATATTCAATATAACGGTGTCGGTGATATCACATTTTAGTGTTATGTAATGTGATGTCTTCATATGATAAGAAACAACTAAATAAATAAAGTGAGTTTCACTTCTTTACATGACATGGTTATTTTTTAAAATATAAAACATGACGGACTTCAATAAATTTATCAGACGATCTTGAATAAACTTATTCAACGGCTATCAACATTCATCTCAAAACCATTCATCTATATAATAAAATACAATATAATTGAAATCTCAAAAGATAAACAAAATGACTTTTGCTATTCGCGGTTGAGATTTTTTTTAATTTTACTTTAAAGTTAATCTGATGGTTAATATTAAAACTTCAAATTTAATAGAAAAAATAGGTCTCTAAGGGTGTGTTTAAAATGACTTTTTAAAAGTGTTTCTAAAAATTATTTTTCATTAATACTTTAAAAAAGAAAGTGTTTGAAACCACTCTACCACTACCACTACTTCTACCATTACCACCCTCATCGCTCAACAACCATCACCACTTCCACCACTACTGACACACCCCAACCCCAACCCCTCCCCCCACCACCACTACTACCACCACCATTGCTGTCACTACCCTACCACCACTATCACTACTACAATCACCCAACCACAATCATCACCATTACCATCGCCCAACCACCACCATCACCTCCTCCACTATCACCCCACCACCACCGGCCCACCACTTTCCCACCATAACTTCCACCCCCCCCCCACCACCATCCCCACTACAATCATCATCACCACCATCGCTACTGTACCCTACCATCATTACCACAATTATCTCACCTTACTGCCACTACCACTATCCCACCATCACTCTTACCACCCTCACGACCATCACAAATACCACTACCATTACCAAGCCACCACCGCCATCCCACCCTTACTGCCCCATTGCCGCCACCACCATCATCGCCACCCACCACTGATTGTTACTATCGTTGTCCATTGCCACACCCACCACCCACCGCCATCATATTCTTATTCTTATATTTATTATCATTACCATTATCATCTCATTACTATCGTTGCCCACCGTCAACACTCACCATTACCATTGTTGCCCGTCGTCACCCATTACCACAACCCATCACCACTCGTCATTGCCCACCATCGCCATCAATCACTGTCACCAACCTCTACCACATCTACCACTACCACTCGTCATCGCCCACCACTGTAGCTACCCACTGTCACCTACCTTCACTACACTTACCATCGTCATTACTCATTACACTGTTGTCTAGAAGTACCCATCGTCATCCACCACCACCATCGTCATTGCCCACCATCACCGTCGTCTTCCCACCATCACCGTCATCCACCATCACCACCGTCGTTACCCACGGCTGTCACTACCATCATCGTCACCCAAAACCTACCACCACCACGGTTGTTGCCACCCTCCACAACCATCATCGTCTCCCACCATCACCACTGCTTCCGCCCACCACTAATATTGTTCACCTCCATTACAATCGATACTTGTATATATTCTTTATGTTTGTGATTTGATTTTAGATATGAATATAAATATGTTTATTGGTGACCTTTTTTTTTTACTCCGTGCCTTCAGGTACGGTGAATAACTAGTATATCTATATAATCTATGATAAAACATTCGCATAAATTCATCCAACGGTCTCAAATATATTTTTTTTATGTTCAATGCTTGATTTTTTTGTCTCCATGATTAATGTTTGATTCTTTGAATTATATAGTATCTTAAGGTACGGGTTATCACTAGTTACATTATATACTGGGCCGGCTCAACAGTGTTGTTGAAAAAATTTGGATTTTAGACTCCATTTTTAAAGAAGACCCCAAATTTGTAGATTTCATAAATAGTTTATGTAGAAAAATTAAATTTATAAATACTTTACCTACAAATTTTTTTTTATAAAAATACAAGTCCAATCAAAAAAAATTTAAGATTTTACTTCAAGGAATGTTCCATAATTTATAGATGTGCAGTAATAGTTCAAAAAAAAAAAATTAAATTCATGCCCAAACAAAAGATTTTAACTTAAATAGATTAGATCTATTACTTCAGACATGAAATAAAAAAATCCTAAAATTTATTATTTTTTTAGAAAAAGAAAAAAATTAACAGTAAAACTAAAGTTACTAAAAAAAATTTAATCTTAACCCCCAGAAAAATTAAGTTTAAACTTACCATCTTAATTTTTCAATCATTATTTTCTTCTCTTAACATACCGTCAAATTCAAATATAATAACAAAAACGCTTTGAATATTAAAATTGAATTAAAATTTTTTTATTTTAAAAAATAAAAAATTAGATTTATTATTAATATTAAAAATAAAAAGACCTCATTTATCGTTTCTATTTTAAGCTCCAAAAATGTCTCAGGCCGCCCTGATCATATAGATAGAGGATGTATTTATTGAATTGCATGAGATCCAATTGATCACTTGTTATGTTTTTATAGAATTACGACATTACGTACGTAGCGGTAATAAACACCACGAGGCCTTGTTTACCAGTGGGGTCTTGGTCCGCTTGACAGCTTCCCAAAGTTGGCAGAAGGGTGAGGTAATTGGTATAATGGTAGTTTGGGAGGACGTTGGCATTTATCAGGGCATTTGGCATACAGATTCTTTAGAGGTGAAACTGAATAAGAAGGTGTTGGCATTTGTGTGCGCCATGAGTTTATCCCAACACATTCTATGATAATGTCCTGGATGTTTTGTATTTCCTTCTGAATTATATTTACTTTGACATGAATTTGATGGGTTCTAATTGAGAATGTTTTTGAGGCTAACCCGAATAGAGGATCGAAATCACTCAAAATATCTAATTTCTTCCCTATTTAAAAATCTAATTCTATTTGAAACAGCTTTGGTTCCCTTTTTTTGGTAATCTTCTTCCTTAAAAGTTCTTAAAAAAGCGGATGGGAATGAAAGCATTTTAGACTTCAGCTCTAGTGAACTTTTGCGGTTGCACTTTGCTCATGAACATAGGCTTTTGAGTTGAACCACATAATTTTTGTATTGTGTATTTATGCTTTGATTTTCTATTTGTTTGTATTCTTGCACCTAGCACAGTAACACACACGTATCTTGGTTTTTCATAAATCACTGATTTTCAAACTTCTTACTATCTAACAAAACGATTTGTTCTCTATTTTTTGGTTTGCTTAAAAAAAAAAAAATNAAGCCCAGAACTATAAACTCACAGAAATAACTCAAGAAACAGATACAAGAGTAATAAGTTATATTCAGAGCCAGTTAACCCCACCTTCTTGTCTCATCAATGCAGGCAACTTTATTTTCACAAGCTTAGAAGAAACCCCATCAACAAAATATCTTGGTTCTTCACCTGAAAAATGAAGGAAAGCTGTCTTCTGGCTTTTATCCTTCATATAA